CTCCTCGCGTTCCTGCTCCTCCAGTACCCTTCGCCTGTTTCATTATCGCCTTCCCTCTCCTCCCTCCTTGTCCTCCTCCTGCCCTCTCCTCGCCTTGACCCTCCGCGTACATCCATCCTCGACTTTGCTCTCCTCATCCACGCGCGGCGTTAAAGGCTCCGGTTTTGTGAGGCAGCTTGGCCCCCCCCCCCAAAGCTCCTGGTTCTGGCGCTGCCGTCCCGAGGGGGCTCCGTCCAAGCAAGCGCGTTTAGCCGATCATCTGCTCAAGCTCCTCATCTGTCAACATGGGAGCTGGGATCGGCCGGGGGGGCGGCGGTGTTGGGGCGTTCGCGCGGCCGATCCACTCGACCGTCAGCCTACCGCACCGCTCTACCACAACGATTCCGCAGGGCTTCCAGAACACCTCACAATGGTAAGGGGGAGCGGTGGAGGAGGATGGAGGGGGAAGGAGACGGAGGAGGAGGAGGAGGAGGAGGTGGAGGTGAGACAGGGTCGGGCAATTTAGGGACAGGGGAAGGCGAGGAAAAGGAGAAATGGAAGAGGGAGGAATCTACAGGGCCTTGCGGAAGTGCCACCAAAGGATGAAGTCTATGACAGTGTCCCTCTGCTTTCTACACGTTTTCGCAAGCATCCGCACTCCGAGGGCCAGCACATTGGCATCCTTTATTGGGCCCCTCATTCCACGTTGCCCCCGTGACTCATATCACCCACCCCCTCCTCCTCGCCATTGCCCCGCACATACACCCCCCCCCCCCTCTCCCAATCCCCACTTCCCCTGGCCGTTGCCCTTTCGACCCCATCCCCATCACAGTGGCCCTTCCGCCACTCTCTCGGGATAGAGCCAAACGGGTCGTTTCGGGACGTCGGCTTCTTGGGGCTGCTTCGATCATCATGGAGCCACGTCGGCCAGCGTTCGCACTCATCCAACTCCCAGATCGTGGCGGCCCATTATCAATCCCATCTTCGTCGCTCATTGTCGTCGGTTTTCAGCTCACTTACGAGCAGATGCGAACGAATGCAACTATCAACGCAACCGCTGCACGCACCAATAGGCAGCCTGCAGGGGCTCTTTCCCAACGAGCCCGTACACGCACACACGCACACACACACTCAGGCAAACATATAATCAATGCACATAGTGGTAAGCTTAAGCGCTAATTTACACAGCATCACCATAACAGCCCAAATTATGCGCAAGTATGATAAACTATGACCTGTCCTGATGGTGTGTGTGGTCTGATGGTAATGGTATGCGATGGTATGATAAAGTGTGAGTGTATGGTGTGGTGTGCGATGGTATGATGGTAATGGTGTCCTGATGGTGCGTGTGTGATGGAGTAATGGTTTGTCCTGATGGTGTGCGATGATATGATAAGGCATGATCGCATAATAAAAAACGCAAGCGGTGTGTGTGTGGCCCGATGGTAAAAGCACCTCCCCCATCCACCCCCTCGGACGTCCCCTTGGTAGCCCAGGTTGGGTTGTCAGAGCTCCTGAGACGCCTCGGAGAAGCCTCGGGGGAAACCTGCCAGAGGCCCTTCAGAACATTGTGAGAGGCCCTTGCAAGGCGCTGGTACCACTCTTGCATAGCTCAACATATTCCGAGAAGCCTTCGGCAATCATCGGGTAAACAAACTTCTGAGAAGCTTTTGGGGGGCCGCGCAGAAGCCTTTCAGGATGCAACCAGAATCCTTTCGGAAACTGCGCCAGCGCCCCTTCCCAGCGCGCGGCCGTCATTGCTGCTCCCCCCTCTCACCACCGCCAGCCCCCCTCTCACCACCGTCAGGCGACTTCGCGGACATCGCAGCCAACGCCGTGAAACCATGCTCGCAATGCCTACGCGGCCTGTGGGGTTCTGCTCGCAATGCCGCGAGGCCCTGCTCACTGTGCCAACCTGCGCAAGTGCGCGCACTCTGACCCGTTGCCGTGGCCGCACTGGCAGCCCAGGCCGCGTCGCGCGCTAGGTCAATCGAGCTTGGGCCTGCATTTCTGTATGCCTGCCGATCTCGGCCTGGTGAAATCCGCCTCCCGCAAGTCGATTGGCGATGCCGACGCCAGCGACCTGAGGTGGTTTCTGAGCCCTGCGCCGTCGCAAATGCAAGTTGATTTCAAAAGTCGCCCACCGAGAGGTCGCAAGATCGAGTTGATTCCAAAAGACGCGCACCAAGGAGTCGCAACTTGAACTTGACCGCCCTAGTTGACCTGACGAGTCGAGTTGACCTGACGAGTCGAGTTGACCAACCTAGTTGACCGACCTAGTCGACCGACCTAGTTGACCTGCCGAGTCGAGTTGACCAACCTAGTTGACCGACCGAGTTGACCTACCCAAAACGAGTTGACCGACCTAGTTGACCTGACGAGTCGAGTTGACCAACCTAGTTGACCGCCCTAGTTGACCGCCCTAGTTGACCGACCTAGTTGATTTAAAAACGCGGACCAGGGGGGCGCGAGTTGACCGACAAAGTGCGGTCGGCTCGCGGCGCGTTGACCGATCGACTGCGGTCGACTCACGGCGATGTGACCGACGGGTGTCGGTCAACTCGGGTGGATCTGACCGTCGATGTCTGGCCGTCTCGCTGTGGACGGGGGAGGGGTCGCGCATTGGGGCCCTGCAGGGGGGGGCGCCAGATCGGCGTCGCTTGTGTCCTGCTGGCCGTCGCGACGCAGGGGCGAAAGACGCGGCGCGATGCGATGGCGGGGGGGGGGGGGGGCGACGCGGGGGGACTTGCGCGCGCGATGGCATCAACGAAATGTAGCAGATGCCTTGGATGAGCGTGGCGCGGGGCGAGTGACGGGCGCGGGGCGGCCCCTAGGCGAACAGCGTGGACGCGATGGGCGGTCGCACCAACCGGAGTTTTTCCATGTTGCTGTCGGTCTCTGTCGCGGCGTCAGGCGCGACGGCGCGACAGATGGCGGGGCCCTGGGTCGTGGCGTCAAGCGTGACGGCGCGACAGATGGTGAGGGCCTGTGTCGTTGCGTCAGGCGCGACTGGCAAGTTAGTTGTTTCGTTCTCTCACATTTTCCCTGTGTGCGTGGTCTGATAAAAAACCTCCTCTTCCACCCCCTCGGATGTCCATGTGGGCGCCTCCCCTTTCGGCGCACCCCTCACACGCTTCGTGGCCTCGTAGGGAGCTCCACTGAAGGCCCCAGTGGCGCCGCCCGCATGTGGGCGCCCCCCCCCCCCTTTTCGGCACACCCCTCGCACGCTTCGTGGCCCCATGGGGAGCTCCACCGAAGGCCCCAGCGGCGCCGTCCATGTGCTCCCCCCCCCCTTTCGGCACACCCCTCAAACATTTCGTGGCCCATAGGGGGCCCCACCGAAGGCCCCAGTGGCGCCGCCCGCATGTGGGCAACACCCCCATTTCGGCACACCCCATCACACGTTCCGTGGCTTCATATAGAGCTCCATCCAAGACCCCAGTGCCACCTTGCCTGTGCAAGTGCACGGTGATGTGTGCTCGGGCGCCAGGTATATACGCACATGCATATGCGCGTGTGCATGTAGGTTCGTGTGGGTTTAATAGATGATGCGCGCGTCTATGCGTGTATGTTCCCCGTCCGGGGGCATATGCGCGCGCCCTTGCCCACGAGCGCAGCGCTTTCCTGTGGCCGCATGTCTTTACGTGATTAAACATTATTCGGGCTTGCCATACCACAGTACCCAAACACCCAGTTTCAATGATTATATTTGGAGTTGGCGCTGGTACAGTATCATTATCAAGGATAAGACAAGCATCGACTTCTCCACGCATTGTATTTTCCCAGTGCTAGCTACGGTGGTCCAAGCTTTGCCGCGCAGTCCCCACTCTGCCTCTTCGCCATCGTTTGCCTCCACAGCACAGCATGGCGCCTAAGGCGCTCAGGCACCCCCTCAAGCCGCGCGCGCCTGATCCCCCACCGCTTCCGCCCAGCGCGCCCCCCGCAGTTCGCCGCAGGATCCAGAAGCTCGGCAAAGAACTGGCCATCCAGAGGCTCATGAATCAGATCCTGAAAAGCAGGTTGAGATCTTTGAGGTGCCGTGCAACCAACGCCGCCGACTCACTGGACGCAGCTGTGACCGAGGACGACGAGCGCAAGGCGTTCGTGCAGAGCCATGAGAAGGAACTTCGTGACAGACCAGGCCCATACCCGCCCGTTCAGGACTGAGGTCGGCATATCACGAGACAGATGCTTCAGCATCTCAGCCCTTCAGCGGGTCGAGTTGGACTCAGGCCGACTTCAGCTGCTCAGTCCTTCAGCGCGTGAGAAAATTAGGCCCGTTCTCATCATTCAGGTGTTCGTCTAGGCGCGCCCGAGACAACCAGTCGCGGAGATCAGGTTGCCAAGATTTGTGCGGCATCGCAGGGGCATCTTGGGAGGACATGGGCAATTGGGTCTAGGAGGCTCCATGGAGGGATCGCGTGGGAGGACAGGGCGACGGCGACGACGACGCCGAGCACGACCACAAGGGGGTCAGAGACGGGCGACGACGACGACGACGAGGACCACGACGAGGATGACTACGACGACGACCACGACGACGATGGCGACGACGAACACGGCGACGACGACGACCACGCTCACGACGACGACGACGCTGACGGCGTCGGTGGTGCAATCGATGCGGTGCAATCTACGTGGTGCAATCTATAAGATGCAAGCTGACTGGTGGAAGCTAGGTGGTGCAATCTATGCGGTGCAACGTATCTAGTGCAACCCATGCCGTGCAATCGATGTGGTGCAAACGATGTGGCGCAATCTATCTAGTGCAAGCTATGTGGTGTAATATATGTGGTTCAAGCTATGTGCAAGCTATGCGGCGCAACCCTGGTGGTGCAATATACTTGGTGTAAGGTTTAAGTAAGCTATGTCGTGCAACATATGTGGTTCAACAAATGAAACAACGCATGGACCAACGCCTGGTTAAACAGTTTAGTTAAACAGTTCTCCATTCACCATAGCCGTTCTGGCTTTTCAGGGCTGGGGCTCAGCTAGGCGACGAGTGCCTCGCTCCACCAGCAATGTCGGTTCCAGTGAAAGATGAGTTGCAGATCCGCAGCGTCTCTAGCGACGACGTGCTGCTGGGGCTCGGCCCGATCACTTTGAGCCCGGAGGATGACCCAGAGCGGGAGTCTGGGTGGTTCGCCAGCCCCGAGCATGATATGGCGTTGGAGGGATGCAGCGCCCATGGGAACACCGCCGACGAGGAGGTGGCTGCAGAGAACGTCAAAGAGGAGATCGAGGACGCTGAGGCTGCGGAGCAGCCTGCGGTGCCAGCAGCCTCGCAGTGGACCACCACGCTGATCGACCTGACTTCCGACATCGGCCCTCGCCTAGTCAGTAGGTCGGCGTCGAAGGCGACGGCCCGTGCCATCGGCGATTCGGCCCAACGGGAGGCGTCAGGCATCGGCGAGGAGATGGCCGATGAGGATGAGGGCGAGTACGCGGCACGGGAGTCCGATGGCGACGGAGAGATCCCATCAACAACTCTGGACCCCGCCAGGTGGCAAGGCCATCCGACGCCTCTGTCATTGGATGAGGAGTTCCCCAGGGGCACAGCGTTCCAGCACCTGGCGCGCATCAGGAAGACCGTCAATGGTTACGTCGACGGGCTCTGCAGCGTCGACTGGCACAAGGATTTCATGGCGGCCACTGTCGGCGCTCTGACCAGGCGGCTCATGACTCACGAATCGAAGATCATGGGGAAGGCTGTGCTGGATGTCCAGGTCTGCTCCAAGCAGCTTGAGGAGCGTGCCAAGGGGCTTTTGGCAATCCACAAGTGGTTCCACCAGTGGACCCAATTCAAGACCGATGACAAGCTAGTCGAGGCGCTGCCGCATCTAATGGTCGAGTTGAAGTACCTCAAGTGCAGGGGCTTGGAGGTCGCGCCGCCTGTGGGGCTCGTGACCCTGAAGGCAATCTTCTTCAGCGTCTACATGGAAAGCGGATCCGTGGCGAAGGCAGTCGCATGGCCAAATGGATCGCGGGTTGGTCGCGAAGCTGGGGGTCTGCCAACGCTGACGATTTCTGGAATACCTGATTTTGAGGGGTCTGGGGGGTAGGGGTAGGCTGGTATACTTGATGATGTGAGTTCTCGTGTGGGTGGCCGTGGCCCCGTGCAAATTGTGGGGGTTAGGGATTCAGGGTCAGTGCAGTGGCAGTACCCTCAGCTTCGCATCAACCCGCGGGCCGCGTCGCCATCCACGACAGGCGATCGGGCACATCAACCTTGGCTCGCTGAGGAGAGTGCTCGAGATGTCAGAAGAGTACATGACGAAGCTCACTGAGGTGCGAAACAGCGCTCCGCAGGCACCTGCAGCAGAAGGGGCCGCGCCAGGCAGGAGGCATCGGGGCCGGCTGCTGCCCATCGATGACGCGGTCGACATCACTCTTCCCGTCGCCGTGCAGCTGGGCATCATGGTCTGGGAAAGCTTAGAGCACTACTGGCAGAGCATCGGAGCCAAGGGCGAGATGACGATGGATACTCGCATGCAAGTTGTAGACGAGACCAGCTCTATCTGGCGTTCATGGGTGAATACCTTCGAGACCGAGGAGAAGACGATGGACACCACTCAGGTCGAGACAGCCCTTTGCAGCGTGAGAGTCGTGTGTCAGTGCTTGCTCCCAGATGAGAAGGACAAGCCGACGACGGCTGATGTTCGAGCAGCTCGGAAGTTCATCAACCAGAACGCTACCTCAACCAAGTCTTCAGATGATCAGCGAGCCGTTGTCCAGAATATCGCAAAGTCGATGGTCGGCATCGCCCCCGCAATCTTCATCATGGAGCAAGCGAGGAGGCATGCTTCGAAAGGGGTTGAGGACGATGCTGCAACTGCCATTTTCGACAAGGCTTGCAATCGTTTTGAGGAGAGCTTCCAGGAGGCATACACGGACATGGAATTGTTCATCAACGAGCCTAAGCCAGAGGACGAGTCGGACGTCATGACCTACGCGATCTTGGGGAAGAGGCTCAAGCCCATTATCGACATCCAGACGAGCATCATCTCCTGTGCATCGAGGTGGTCACCCGCTGCGCTGAAGGATAATATTGAGCCCGTCTGCGCCGCGATGGGGAACTTCATGGAGCTGCTGAGCAATGGTGTATACGGTCTCGTTTCGGTGTTTCACAAGACCGTGTCTCGCCCTCTGGCTCGGGTCCTGGACGAGACCGGCGCCACCAAGGCCGGAGAGGGACGCGATGAATTCCTGCGTGTGCCCGTCGAATCGGTTGCAGTCGGAGGCGCAGCAGCAGCGAAACCAGAAACCCAAGGTGCGGTTGTAGAAGTCTCAGAGAGAGAGCATCGTCGAGCAGGGCGGTGCTGGCTTTGCAGCAGTGTCACCAGCGTCGAAAGTCATCGCTGCGCTGGGGGACTTGCACGCGACCAGGCTCCAATCGGAGGAGTTCTACAAGGCGCTTCAGACGATGGTACTCGGAACGACGAAGTGCGCCGAGGCCTTGACCAAGAGGACCAGTGACGTGGAGCTCGCCGAGAAGCTGGGCGAGATCGGGTGTGCGAAGGTGCTGTTGGCAACGCTCGAGGACAACCGTCAGAACCTCAAAGATATGATGGACTACATGGGCGCGGTCGTGGAGCTCTTACCCGTGTTTGTTGATGGGGGGTCCGATGCGCTATTCGATGCAACCACCACCAATCCAAAGACCAAGGAGCACACGATCAACCTGTCCCGCCTGCAACACCAGCTAGAGGGCGTCAATACGATTCTGTTCCATGGCGAAAGCACCGTGCAAGACGCGAGCGTCTTTCACTCCATCAGCGAGGCTTTCATGATCTTCAAGGCCAACTTCGGCGACATTACCTACCACCATGCAGCGGCCGTCTGGCTTGCCCCCCGCGTGGTCAATATGTTGGCTTTCAGCGACCTCGAGATCGGTGCGGTCCAGGATGACGTGTTGGTGTCAACCCTCGACGCTCAGATCCTAGGGCGCCTCGTTCGCAAGCCAGGTGCCGACGACCCCTTGCCTTCCGAAGTCGTGGAGGCGCTGCAGACGACGGCCGACTCTGACACAATGCTCGAAAGCTTCACCCACAACAAGGCGCTGACTGCATTGAAGGACTTCGCCGAAGCGACGAGCATGACTGAGATGCGCACTTGCGGCGCCGCGTTGGCAGATGGTCGCCAGGTCAGGGGGCGAGGGCAACGGGCACGCACTAACAGTCCCTCAGTGGTAACTTTCTAAACGACTGGCCTAGGGAGACGGTGGAGGGGACGGGGCAAGGTAAGCAGGGGCCAGTGCGTTTCGTTGCTGTCTCGGGACCCCCGAAAGGGCGAGGACTGGCCAGTGCCAATGCACATCGCGACATATGTGTTTGACGTCATGTGCGCTGTGAGGGACCAGTTCATGCTGGCCACGGCGCTCCAGCACTACCTCATCGACCCGACCGCCGAGCGTAAGGAGATGTTTGAGAAGAGCATCGAACCCCATCCGTCTTGCAACATCCAGGTCAATGCGCTGGTGCTCATGTTTTCTCGTGCGAAGGTGATCGACGACTTGGTCAACGCCGACGCTGGGAGGTCGCTTGAGAGAGATGGATGGAGCTTGCGAATCCCCTTGCAATCGTTGGGCCGTTGGGCCCTGCAGATGGCTTCTTGTGCTGGGAGGTGCCGCGATGCTGTCATGGCGCATCGCATGACATACCTATCCGCCGTGGTCTCCGAGTGCCAGTCGACGATGCCACAGTGGGAGTCGATCTTCAAGGACGGAGTGCTCAACATGAAGATGGCGATCGACCTGCTGGACGAGAAGTTGCCTCCCACCGTGGCCAGCTACAACCGCATATACCAAGTGCTGGGCAAAGTTTCGGTGATTTCAAAACGCATTGAGCTGTCGCCGCCAGTGGACAAGCATCCAACTACGTCGTCTGGATGCGCTGTGGCATCGACGCTCCTGGCGAAGTTCTACCAGGCGACGGTGCTCACCCAGGGCGTCAACTTGCTGGGGTTCCAGTCGCAGGGCCCAAGTGCGTCGACGAAAGCGTCCAGCTTCATCAAGGAGCATCAAGAGAAGAAGAAAGTGCAGTTGCCCGACGCCTTCTGGAGCGAGCTGAAATGCATCGTGGACGGTTCTGCAATGGTCTTCAGCGACGGGCACTGCAGTTGCCCGACGCCTTCTGGAGCGAGCTGAAATGCATCGTGGACGGTTCTGCAATGGTCTTCAGCGACGGGCACGCCGTGGTCAAGCGAGAGGGGGCGGTCGGCACACCAGCGTCGCCAGCCACAGGCAGCCTTCGGAGGAGCGGGAGTTCGTCGGCAATTTCGACTTCGGCGGGGACGATGTCGGCATTGTCTCAGAGCCCCGCCTCGGCGTCCACTGCAGCCTCTCCCCTGGAGGGGGAGGCGACGGGCCTGTCCCAGGCGCCAGCTGCCAAGAGGCCCAGGCTCGCGCGTCTCAGCGGCACGAAGCGGGCTCGTTAGAATGCATTTTGCAATTTAGGGAGTTGGGGCAGAGTGCCCCCCAGGTTTAGTCATATCACTGGTTTCCGTCGACGGCGTGACGTAAATCGATGTGTAGGTCATAGGGCCAAGCGGGGGTCTCCGCCCCCAGGCATCCAGGGCGGTCTTCTGGGGGTGTTGCCGAAGCCTGGCTATGCGTCAAGCCGTCGACCGAAGCAAGTGGGTATGATCGCGTGATCTCGCATGCGCACTGGCCGCCAGTGCGTGTTGAGAGGTGCATCCCGATGGTTCGCTGGGCACGGGTGCATTAGCAGTTTCATTACACACAGGGTTGGTGTTATAGTTCACATCAGTTTCTCCCTTACTATCCTTCGTCCCCGTTGCCATCAACACCATCATCACTATCATAACCACAACCACCATCACCACCACCATCATCCGCACCGCCCTCACAGCGCGAAACGGGATGCAAGCACCTCTAGGGTGGATAGTGGGTTGACCTGCCTGTCGGCGGGATGATGTGTTCAGGCCGAACTCGGGAGGCCGAGTTGTCGGCGCTTCTTCCTCCTGCTCCTCCTCCTTATCATTCTCCTCCCAGCGTCGTGTAAGAGTGGGGGTGGGAACGGGGCGGGGGGACGGATGGGGCGACAGGCTCGATGGGGGATGAGAAAGGGAGTGAGGGCAATGGCGGCGACGGGCATACGGCTCCAAGAGAGCGCTCAAGATGGACTCCCGGAGGGCAGCAGACAAATGCTGCAACAAAATGGACCCCCTGTAGCATCCACTGGGTAGCTTCCCGAGGCCCTCTCGAAGTCTGTTCGCGGATTGCCTTGCCCCCAATCAAAGGCTTCCTGGGGCTCTCAGGGGGCCCCCCCAACAAGGGCTCCGAATGCGCCCCTGTAGTCGGACCCCCGTGCACGCGGGGGGCGGACGAGGGTCCGCATGCGGACTGGGCGCGGGGTGGGGAGGGGGAGAGGGCGAGATGCTCATGTCTGGGGTAATCCGATAAGGGCGTTGGGGAAATGGGCTGGTAATTCAAGGGAGGTGAAGGGGGGAAGTGAAGAACTGACCCATCCCAGACACCCCACGTCCTCACATCCCTCTTTGGCGCTGGCAGCTGGGCCGCAAAACGCGACGCAGACGGGGTGCGCACGGGAAAGATAAATATGGCGGAAGAGACGGGTGACGGAAGGAGTGGGGATCAGGAGTTGGGGGTCGGAGAACGGAGGGGGAGGGGGCAAAGGAGGTGGCGGAGGAGAGGGAGGAGCATCGGGAGATGGAGGAGGAGAAGGGAGAGGGGGGCGGTGAGAGAGGATGGGGGAGGAACGAGCAGCGCGTAGCAGTGAAGGAGAAGTTTGAGACTTCGCCAAAGGATTGGTGGGGAGTGCGCCTTGCGCACCTCCTTGGCTCGTTCCCTTTCTTTGCCTCCTGTCGTTCATGCATTATGGCGTCTCCTCGTTCTACTGCCGCCCTCCTTTTTGTGGCTGGGGGCCACCGCTCTCGTTCAGTATGGCATGAATCGCAGTCGGTTACCTGACGTGTTATGCCACATCACATCATCGTAATGCTGCACGCCATAACGCATAGCCTTGCGTTGCACTGCATAGCGCGCTCCATAGCGCATGGCAGTGCATGGGATTGCACATTGCCTTGCACAGTGAGTTGCATTGCATTGAATTGCACAATGCAGTAGCGTTTCTGGAGACATGGTTTGGGTATGTCTGACCGCTTAGAACGACCCGATTGCCCTTCGGAGCCAACTGAGGAATTGACGGCAAATCGTCCACTCCAGATGCGACCATGCTTCACCTGCTTGCTACTCCTACTTGCTGCCGTTCTGGCCCTCCATGCAATGCTGACCCAATGGCCGAAGTGAACTTATCATCGTCGTTGTTGTCATCACCATCAGCATCATCAGCATCGCGCCCATGATCACCCTCATCCTCATCATCATCACCATCACACTCATCATCACCATCATCACCATCGTCATCATCATCACCATCATCATCATCATCGTCAGCATCGTCGTCAGCATTATCATGTACATAATCCGCAACCATTTTGGCTCAAGACATTGTGGCAACTCTTCAGGAATAGGGAACATTTGGTTTGCGCCCATTGCTGCCAAGCCCCTGTTACTCCGCCGTTGCCGCAATGAACGTCGTGGTGCTTGCGGGAGCGTTCGCCATCCTGCTCGTCGGCCGCGGCTGCGTTGCCGCCGATGACTTAGCCAAGACCTCGGAGGAACGCTGCCTGATGGAGGACGATTCGCACAACTGCCACGCCACGAACGAGGCCGACGGCGCGGGGCTACTCCAGTCACGGGCGTCGGGCCCCAGCGAACCGCAAATCGCGAACATTTGGAAGGACGAGGCACCGGACCACAAACAATATGATGAGGCGAGAGTGGAGGATATACCGATCGATGTCCAGAACCTCAACTCTACCATGCATCGCCAGCATTAACATCCTGGCGACGTGCATCTCCGTTCCTCGGAGGAGTGTGACTTGGAGTGCCCTCGATCAAACACTTACTGCTGCTATTATGACCCGGAGTTTGGACTAAAATCTTGCTGCGTGAGTGGTCAGGTTGCTCCTGGATATGTGTGCCAATATGGATATTTCAGGCAGTGCACAGAGGGATATTGTTGTAGTAGGAACGGGAGCTGTAGCCCGTGCTAGCTCAATTGTCCTCTTCTGAATCCCGCTCGGTTTAACGTCCTGCCCGCTCGCATGACAACCTGCGCGCTCATTTTAAAGTCGCGTTCGCCGGGTCTGTCCGCCCGGCGCGACCCCAGCGAAGCGAGATTGGCAACGCGAGATGGGGGGAGCGAACCGCGAGAGCATCATCATGTGCATAACCCCCATCGTCATCGCCTTCTCGTGACAAGAAGGCACAGGGAGGTTGTTAGGGGATTAACTCAAGGGGTAGTAAATAAAGAGCCAACTCAGGAGGAGGAGGAGAAAGACGAGGAGGAGGAGGAGGACGAGGAGGAGGCGGGGGGAGAAGGAGGGGGAGGACGAGGAGGAGGAAAAGGATGAGGATGTGGAGGAGGAAGGAGAGGAGGAGGGGGAGGAGGGTCAGGAGGGAGAGGAGGGGGAGGAGAAGGGGGAGGAGGAGGAGGAGGATGGGGGAGGAGTTGGAGGAGGTGGAGGAGGAGGAGGAGGAGGGGGAGGAGTTGGAGGAGGTGGAGGAGGAGGTTGAGCCGCTCAAGACACATTCGACACGTTGAGATATCCAGGGGCGCCTCAGTGTCGGTTTTGCCTGAGTGCCTTTGGATCCAGATTACACATTGACAGTCCAGAGCGTTGGAGTACCGTTTACTTCTTGTGAGGACATCAATTTCTTGTGAGGACATCTGTACTTTCTTGTGAGGTCATCTGTACTTCTTGTGAGGACATCTGTTCGACACGACGACAGATTCTAAGCGTTCGCGTGAGGACATCAATTTCTTGGAACAGTGGGGGTTCCCAGAGGAGTTCAAGCATTCGAACACCGTCACTTTCGCAGCGATGTCTCAGCAAAGCCCAGCAGGTGAGCCCTGTTGTAAGAGGAGTAAGGCTGAGGGTGAGGATGAGGATATGATTCAGGCAAGCAGTGAGGAGGAGGAGCAGTTCGGGGAATTTGATGACGGTAATCCTATGACGCAACAGTTTGCTATGATGAAGGCTATGCTAGCTAAACAGAACACTCAGAAGAAAAGAATTTCACGGATTGAGCAGGATGTGAAACGGATCGACCAGCGTGGTGAGAAGAATGAGGCTGACATCGCAGCTATGCAGCAGCAGATCCGTTCGCTTCAGCAGAAGGGTCCACCCAGTGATGCAGGATCAGGGTCCACGGACGCTTGGAGTAACTATGCGGGCCCTGCGGGCTCCTCTGCTACGGCCACTGCTCCCAGGTATGGTAATCGTACGCCAGTTCGCGAATGGAATCGAGTGCGGGAGGATTTCGCACCGACCTTCATCCAACTCACAGGTTGGGCGCGAGGTGGAGTCGGCAATCTCAAGACTCGTTCATCGGATATGCTCTCCTGGGATCATGCTCTGCCAGTCATTCGTAAATTTGTCCGCGGCACAGGAAAGATGACTGAGGAGCATTTCGACATGAGTAGGATCGAGCGGGGGCACAAAAATAAACCCTATGGTCTTTATCGTACACGATTCTATGTTATAAGTGGCAAGTTGACGAACGATGAAATTTGGGAGATACGCAATTCTTGGGCCGTCGAGCTTGGGAATGACACGCACGACTTGAAGCAAATCACTCCCATCCTGGCCAACGAGCGTCTCGGCGTATCCTGTGAACCAGCACCCTGGAAGCAGCCACATGTATCTGCCGTGGGTCGTTGTCAAGCTATCTGCGCTACTCTCAGGAGTGGCCCCCAGTGGCCTGAAGGGTGAGATGGGTCCCCCTGTCAGCTATGTGTGGGGCTACCCTTCGGCCACGACGCCGAAGACGGATGGAGTATGCATTGCCGCTTTTGATCCTAACTTGGGGCGGAAGGTTGATGCCGAGCTGCTGCGTAAGGTCGATGCCAAGTTGGATTGCGAGGCCTTTCTGGCCAAGCTCAACTTTCGTACTTGGTGAAGGTGCCATGGCGCCATCGTGGGCACGTGTAACGTGAGGCGCTGTGGCAGCATGAACAGCCACGACTTGCTTGCTCAGATCAAGACCTCGAATTCGGAAGTTCTCGCTCTGCAGGAGTGCCAGTTCCTTGGAATAGGTAGGTGCTCTGAGCATGGTTTCACATTAACTCTTTCTAATGATGGGAAGGCGGGGGTTCTCTACAAGACGGTGTGGAGAGCCTCCATACGTGAATGCATCAGGGGTAATCGTTATGTCATTCTCGTGTTTCAATCGTTGATTGTTGCCAGCTTGTACTTACCACATGCGCCGAAAAAAAGGGGATCACAATATCTTATTCACGCAAACATTGCAGTCGTTTCGAAAGGATTTGGATACGCTCCGAGTTAGGTTTCCCAAGGAAGGGTGGGACTTGTTGACCGGGATGGAT